TTAGTGTTTCAATATTGCTATACAATTTCATGTTTCTTATTGCAAAGCATGCCTTGCCCAATCTGGACAGCATCGATTCAATCTGTGACTTCCAATTCAGGGTCTTATCAATTTCAATGCCCAAGAATTTAACGTGGGTTTCCTCATGCAATATCTCATCATTAAACTTTAAATGTATAGACATATTATCTCGATTAGTTGTATCAAATTTTACCACTTTAGTTTTCTTCAGATTTAGAGACAGGCCATTAACTGCAAACCAACGGCTTAAAGAATTTAACACTAAGTTAGACCTTACTTGGATTTCATCAATATCAGTACCAGACACTACTATGCTTGTATCGTCTGCATACAACAATAACCTATCATCAGTATTTAATGCTGATGACAGGTCATTGATATATAAAAGAAACAGCAAGGGACCCAAAATTGAGCCCTGCGACACTCCATATTCAACAATCTCCCATCCTGAACAACATTTTTCATTCCCATTAGTATGTATGTATGTTTATGTATATATCCCTGAAGAAGTGATCACATTACTTTAACGCTCAAACGTTTTCAGTGACATAGAACTTTCAACATGCAGGTTGTCACAGAACTTTTTTGCATCAGTATACATTGACACATCACATATTGCCAGGAAAATGAAGACAGTTGTGTATAAATTCTACAGTCATGGTATTGTGACAGATATTACATTCTGCCCAAAAGTTACCTTAATAGATAGAAGATGAAAAATTGTGAAAGCTATACCACCAGAATTATTTCAATTGGGCTGGTATTCATGCCACCTCAGAAGTTTACCTGGCCATTGTGGTGGTACTGTTCCTCATTCTGTTTCACGCTGTGTTCCATGAAAGTTTGCCTGCACAGTAACAGTAATCTGAGAGAAAGTGATGAAATGTTGAACACAGAACACACGTGACTTACTGTGTACCAGCATGGTATGCCTGTGTGGTGCTTATTGCACATAATGTTGTAATATAAACTGCTTAAGGTTCTGTGAGGCGCCTGCATCTGTCGCACCCTATGAATGGCCTGATGACATCACCAAGTGGCCGATCTGCCGTAAGACCAATTACGTCTCACAGGAGGGCGTCCGCAACAAAGATAAGACAGCAGAGCACATGGTGTGTGAAGTGATTGGCCACCCTTGCTGTATTGGTATCCATGGCATGTGTCGTATAACAACCAAGGAGTACTGTGATTTTGTCAGAGGCTACTTTCATGAGGAGGCATCTCTCTGTTCTCAGGTTTGTTGTTGAGCTTACAGTAAAAACTGTGTTATTGTGTGAGAGGATAGATTTCCCGCATCTCTGAAAGAAGGAATTTGACTTTTATGCCTATTTGTATGCTTCAGTAAATGAGAATCCTATAAAGTTGCATGTTCATAGCACTGATATAATGTACTGTTTCTCAATTTTCTGCCAAATTTGGTGTGATGAAGGGACTGTGGTTCAGATGGCTTCTCAGCCTGCCCTGTGTATGTACACTGACCTTCCAGCTCCTGACACTCGAGACTGAGTAACTGGAGAACTTTATTTAAGTACTGACAATTTATTGCAAGTGAACATTTCTTTTAAGATTATGATCATATGGATTTTACACTTTAGTTTAATGGGTGGAAATTCTACCCTGAAGAAAGAGACAGCAGCCTCCATTGAAAAGTTGGTAACTACACATGAAACTATTTCTTTGGCACTGTAAGAAATTATTATTCTTCTATCCATATTGCTCGTCAACTTGGAGAATAGGGCATCCATAAAATGCTGTGTTTCACTTCAGTTTCTTAACCCTTGAGCGTGGGGATTTAAAAATCGCTTTCGTGGTGCCTCCGGCGGTATTACTTTTTAGTTGGCCATTTAAATTTTGTGTCTAAATTATATTAATTATCATAGCTTTTGAACTATATGAGATATAATTATGAATTTTTCACTGAAATAATCTTAAAAGATGGTGTTATAATCTTACCTGATAATATGGCCGCCCTTTATCTCAACGATGGAAGCAAGTTGATTAGAAGTGGAGTTGTGTGTGGTATTTCTTAAAACATTCATCAAAACACATCGCTGCTTCACAATCACTACACCAATAAACAGTATCCTTCCTTTTGCCTTGTCTTGAGCACACGACACATCTTCTTTGTGGCTTTGCCTTCTTTCCTGTGGCTGGAATCTTCTCCACAAAATGCCGTTCTGTGAGTCTTTTAG